AATAAGCTCCTGTTTGAAAAAAGAAATTGCATCATTCTCCTTAATCTATTCTCTGCCTTCCTTCATTTCCTTCCCCGACTTGGCCTAGTCGCTAATGAGAAGGTCAAGTCACTGTTAGCTCTAAGTTGGCTTGTCTGGTAGCCTCATGATCTCCCCCACCTGCTACTGAAAGACAGCTTCAGTTTTGACCCAGTGTTCCATGTGCATTTGCACTGCATGCTCATGTCATTTGTGCACAGATAAGGCGTTTTTTAATCATCTCTTCACTGCTATATGAGTGTCACTTGACTTCAAAATTCAAATTCCACTATCCGGTGAAATACAAATGTTCCATACTGGTGATATAAACACTAGGTGATATGAAAAAAATCAAGAAGGAACTTCATAGGTACCATGGGCACCAATCAGAAAAGGATTTTTGTTAATGGCTTTCCTCTGTCAATAGTTATAAAGAAAGGCTCGATTCAGCCAAGCTAGCCTAGCAGACAGGGGCAACTGTGTGAGGAAGTATGTCCAGGCAAGAGGGGCGCGCCTGCAATTAGTCAAGAGTGCCCCACACTGTGTTGTTTCCCGACTGCAGCAGCTCTCAGAAGATTGGATTCTTTATTTCCTACAATTACTGCAAGTTGCACATGGTATGAAAATGCTATTGGCACAACACATGATGAAAGTGACCCAAGGAAGGGTTCTTGGGCTCACAGCTGGACGGGGAAGTCCATCAAGGAGGCAGCTCACATTCCATCCAATCAGGAACTAGAGAGAATGATAGGTGCTGGCTCTGCCCTCTCTACTTTGTTATTCTGTTGGGAGAATGGCACCACCCACATCTGGGGTGTGTCTTCTCCCCTCAGTTAAGCCTTTCCGGAAACATGCTCACAGACATGCCCAGAAGTGTGACTGCCAGGTGTTTATAAGTTCAGTCTGGTTAACAGTGAAATTAATAATCACAATGCTTTAATGACGTGGCTTGCAGAACTGGCATGCACTAACACAGGTGAGACAATGGCTGTAACATGGCAAACCAAAAATCCCAGCACAGCTCTTAGGACCCTTGCTGCGGCCTTCCACTGGCTTGCTGCATTTTCGCTCACTGGTCTCTCTATTCATTGCCTGAAATTTTTTCTGCCTCTGGGAGCTTACCACCCCTTCAAAATTTAAGTGTGTGTGTGTGTGTGTGTGTGTGTGTGTGTGTGTGTGTTTATGGTGTCTGGGTATGCATATGTGGAGGTCAAAGGGCAATGCTGTGGAGTCAGTTCTCTGGGCAATGCTGTGGAGTCAGTTCTGTCCGTCCACTCTTTTGTTTGAGAATGCCATGCATGCATATAACGTGTTCTCCTCTACCTCTCAGTCCCTTCTTCCCTCCTTATCTGCCCCAGTACTTCTCTCTCCCAACTTGCACGTGGTCTTGTCTAAACCCACAGAGGTGAAGTTCATGTACTGCTATTTGTATTCCCATGGGTGTGGGACACTCAACTGGAGCATGGGTAACCTCTCAGGATCCACTACCCTGGAAGAAGTGGACTCTACTTCTCCCAACAGCTCTAAATTGCTAATATATCCTCAGCTAAGGGGAGGACTTCATGATCCCCTCCTGTAGCATGCTGGGGTTTTATCTGGACTGATCTTGCACAGATCTCTCCTTGTACTTTTACATGGATTCTGGGCATAGAATTCAGGTTGTCTGCTTTGTGCAGCATTGGCTTTTA